CACCGATGGCTTGGGCCAAATCTGTAGAGATGAGGAATCGTGGAGTCGCAATTCCAGATACCCCCCAGGTCTCAGGCCACTACTTCTTATTCCTGGGCTTTAGCTCTTCAGCTGCATTACGCAAGAAAATGTAATTTTTCTTCTGAGGATTATAAAATTCATGTCCCTTGGACCAGTCATAACTTGACGCGTAGGCAAATATGTTGCCATTGTGACTGAAGCAGCATGCTGATATCGGCTGGTCTAGCTGTTCCGAAGTTTTGAGTTTTGTCCGGGCATCTTTGTCCCAGAAGCTGAACCTACCATCTGATCCCACGGTCGCAAGGGTGCCATGAACAGGGTGGAATGAGATTCTGTTCACCGCATAGATGTCCTGAGGAGCCGAAGTGTTGGTTCCATTGGACCGATGGCATTTAAAGGTGAAGTTATCTTTGGCAGGATTTGGGGGGTTGATGTAGTGAATAGCAACTCTTCCCTCAATACTCCCCAGGGCAAAACCTGTTGGCTTGTTCTGTTTGTCTTTAAAAATGGCCACACATCGATACTGGTGCTTCAGTGGAGACTCTATCCTCCGGAACTCAGAAGGCTGGTTTTCCAGCTGGTAGACAATCAGGCCCCTCTCTGCAGTTGCCACTACAGCCATTGGATATATCACGTCAGCACAGTAACACCTTTCAGGGAGCTGTAAGACCATCATGGGATTTGATGACCGAGTATCCCAAAACTTCAAAGTCTTATCCCAGCTGTCGGTCATCACGCAGCTGTAGCTTGGAGCTTTGATCTAATGTATAGTTTTAACAGGAGCATCATGCTGTGCAATCTGTATGGCTTGGTTACTGTTGAGGTCCCACATTTTGGCAGTTTTGTCACACGATGCTGTAAATACTTTGCTTCCATCATCACTCCAGCAGACATCGAGGACGGGCCCGGTGTGCATCTGCTGCGCTTTCGGAATGGTCTGCCCATTGTCCTGAACCTCCCAGCAGCGAACATCATTAGCCCAGGATCCTGCGATAAGAAAGTTCCCGGGCAAGGTTGGTGGGCTGAATGACAGGCACCCAATGCTGTCATCAGGGGAAGACGTGACCTTGATATCCTTATAGGGTTGTGATTATCTGTGGTAGTGCTGCCGAACATGCTGGTGCCACCAGTTCCAAAACCGGAGGTTGTTCCAAACAGACTCATTTTAGCTCTGAGGGTTGCGCCGCGGCAGACAGGCGGCAGCGGTCAGCAGAAAGGAAGGTGAAATAAAAGGGCGAGGCAGTCGTGTGGGAACCCCAAGCCCCTGGGGGTCTCCTCAAACCAGTCATCCTCCATATCTTTCTGCAGCTGTTTCTTTACTTCAGACACTATTATTTCAGAGATTTCAGGTATGTGATTTCCAATTTCTTCTACGCTATTGTCTCCTGCATTTGTTGTGGATGGGCTCAGGGCCTGAGAATGCATTTTGCTCCTTCTCTGTCATTTTGTATGGCATTGTCTTCTGAATTTTGGTGTAGATCTTTGGTAGAGTTATTACTTTAGCACCAGGTCCAGGTCTACCAAGTTCAAACTCATCCAGGTGGGTGTGGCTTGGGTCTGGCTGCTGTGCTCCACTTCTTGCTGCTGTAGCCCTTGGAAGTGAATGTGCTGTGCCACTTGTGCAAGATGTTTTGCTCCTGGATCAGCTAGGTGGCTCTTGCCTCTATTCTCTCTACAGGGAGTTCTGCCACAGGGTTCCACACTGGGCCTGTCTGATGGAGAAAATTCCACTCACATGCCGGGTCTGGGTGCTGGCTTGAATGAGGATCCGGCAGGCCCCAGGAGGTCTCACTCAAGCAGAGCCTGGGCACTGGCTGGAATGAGGATCTGGCGGGCCCTACGTGATGTCATTCATACACTGGGCCTAGGCACTGGCTGGAATGAGGATCAGGTGGGCCCCGGGTGGTCCCACTCACATGCAGGGTCTGGGCTCTGGGTCGAATCATTTTAAAGGATCTTTTTTGGCTAGTTCTGGCTGCCTTAAGCACAGGTATGGTGTGGGCTTGTGGAGTTGGGGATCAAACTGCTGTCCCCTGTGCCTGACTGCATTTGCCCAAGAGGCACTTTAAACAACTGAGCTATTAGGCAAGCCCTTCAGCTATCGGGCAAGCCCCCTCATCTAAGCTTTCTGTTCAATGACCAATAAAGTTGGCTCCTAATTACAGAAACTTTTTAATTAGATAAGAGAACATTCATTGCCCTAAGTACTTCTGAGCTTATAAACAAATATTGTATATAAAGGAAACTTGGGCTGGGCATGGTGGTACCCTCAGCAATTCCAGCACTCTGGGAGTTTGATTAGTATGATAACAAGTTTAGAGTTCTGCCTCAAAGTAAAAATTACAAAAAAGGACTGGCAATGTAGCTCAATGTAAAGGCCTTGCATTCAATCCCCAGAATGGATTTAGCTTCTTAAAAGACAGCGAGCTCCAGAGGACAGTTAGTTATCTTTTAGTGCCATCTCTGGCTATTGTTGCACAATTAGTGGAATGGATTATGATGGCAAAATATAAAAGGAGTAAATTAGTCAGGGTAAGTCTATAGTTTTCCTTCTCCTTGCATTTGGACCTGAAACGCCTGTTCCCGGTTCTCTTGACAGAATTCATCTTACTAATTCCAAGCAGAATTCCCTCTCTCTGCTTCTCCATGTCCCTCTCCCTCCAGTCAGAGCAAACCACAACATTTTCTGTGGAAGAACTAATTTCCAGACTGGGCGGGGTAGTGTGTGCCTATAATTTCAGCTCTTGGGAGACTGTAAACAGGTGAATCACTACGAGTCCAATCTAACAGTGAGACCCTGAACACCCTGTAGACCCTTCCCTAAAATACAAAAAAACCCAAAAAACACCAAATTTCCAACTGTGAAATGGCAGTAACATTAGAATATCTCTATTTAGTATTTTCAAAAAGATGCAGGAAGGAATACAGTATACTAGAAAGGAAAAACTAGAGAGCAAATAAATTTATTCTCTATATATTCATTTTTATAATTGTCCTGGATGTGGTATGTTTCATCCCCTGCTAAACTATGACATTGTAACACTATTGTTTCATTTATCTTTGGATTCACAATGCTTAATGCCTGGGGTAGTAAAATTATCAGAATATAGTATGTTTAATGAATGATTCAACAAGATCACAAATTAAGTTGACTCTGTCAGAGCTTTCATTCTTAATATATTACAATAGATTTATTTTCGATCTCATTATTAAAACATTAAATTTATCTATAACTCATATTTCCTTATTGTAATACTCAAGTAACAAGTCTTATGAATACTAGATGGCTAATACAATACATAACTTTATAGAAACCATGCTTAAGTGGTGATGTAGAAGCTGTTTTCATTTTCCTTTTCTCTCTTCAAATGTGTAAAAACATCCTATGTTGTAATCTTGACTAAGCCTGGGGCCACAGAGCAGAACAATCTTACAGGGGAACACTGACAAGAGAGCTAATCCTATTATTGGAGAAAAGCGGAACAAAAAGGAGTATTCAAAAGAAGAGTACTGATGTAATTTATTAGGGTGATTTTCTTAATTTTTGGAAAATCAAAAACCGAAATATATTGTTTAAAAATTTTAGGTAAAGTTTTATGCAAAAATAAATATATTATTTAATTTCAGTCAAGGATAATTTCATATATGGGAAATTAAAAATTGGGAATCCTAGATCTCAGGCACTAAAGTGATCACACTGTAAATTTTAGGAGATTGTTTGGAAATAATTCAAAACATTATTATTTAATTATTCAAGACATCATGCAACTTCATGTAACTTCTCTCTCTCTTTTCTTTTTTTTTTGCAGAACGGGGGATTGAACTCAGGTCCTTGTGCTTGCCGTGGAAGCACTTATTCCACGGAACCATCTCCCCTGCCCTTGTAACTTCTCTATGAGGTAGAGCACACTCCACTCATCTTAATGAGTTGGCAACCAAAGATCAAAGTAATCGTACTTTCAGAAAAAGAAAATGAGACACAAAAATTATATTTATTTTTCAGAGAGGCTTAAGCTACAGAGGCTTTAGTGTTTGATAAAGTATGAGAACTTACTTGTGAGGTTAGTGCCCTGGGCTGGTGGATTTTCATCCTCACAATTACTATGTGAGGCACTAGGAATATAAAAATAAATACCCCTTTACTGTGTGGTACTGACAAACTACAGCTATGTATCGGACATCTTCATTCCCAGTTACTCTTGGTCCATACCTCTTGGTATGAAGAGGTGAACAAAAAACAAGTATTCAATACAAAGTATATCATGAAGAAAACATCTATGAGAGGTCTATTTTACCATCTACATTAGGCTCAGTAAAGCATAGGATGTCCAACATTCATTCTTCCTTCATAATCCAGGATACTTTCCATCTGAAGTAGATTTGTTTAGTTACATTCCAAGCACCTATTACCTTTTTCCATCTAACAAATCTAATTTTGTTGGGTAAGCCATGTGAGTCCTGGAAGGCTGACCAGACCTAATTCTACTTTTGGCTATCAGCCAGACAAATCAGAACATTCCATATTCTTGGCCACATTGACAGGTTTAGCGGCAGGCAGGTGAACAAATCTAGTTAACTAGAAGGAACCCTCTGAATTTTGCTGGAAATGCTGAGAGAAAGATGAATGAGTTCAGGAAAAGTGAGTAAGCATCCTGGGCTAGGTGAAGCATCTGTCTTGGAAGGGAGCCAATGCCGACAAAGGTAAAACAAAGACTAAAAACCAACCAACTTCCTAGAAACAGGGTTGTTCTCATGAAGTCCAAGGTACTTCTAGACTTTTCAGCTATAAGTTATATATCATCCTCTTTATAATATCAGTTTGAGTTGAGATTTCTGGTACATGTAATGGACAGCTTACCAATTTACTTTCTGTGCTTACTGAATTTCTCATGTTAACTTAAATATATATCATAATCTACTTGGTATATAACAAAATGGCATACTTCAAAATCATACAGAATAGGGAACATCAAACCTTAGTCCATAGCCCTTTGAAGCTTGACTGGCCTCTTTCTGTCAGTCCAAATTAACCACCAGACCAACAAATGAAGACTTGAATGTGGAGGACTACTGCCATTGGGCAATTCTGATGTCCCTGCCACATAATACCACTACAGCTGACTAACTTTATTCACAGCTAAAGAGAGGAACAACTGCTTCCTGTTGTTTTTTTGGAAATTAGAAACCTCACTCAGTAGTTTTTTTTTCATATTTTATTCTTTTTATTAGTACACGTTTGTAGTCATGATTATATTCACCAAGGAGGATATGTACATTGGCATTGTACATCCTTTCTTTTTTGTCCCCTTCCCTCCACATTTATAACAGATCTATTTTCATTTTTTTCTTTCAATTTTTTTTTTTAATTCTGTTTCTCTTTTTTTTCCCCTCTGCAAATCTCATTTCCCTTCAATGTTTTTTTTTTTTCTTTTCAGAACCAGGGATTGAACTCAGGTCCTTGCGCTTGCCAGGGAAGTGCTTATTCTACTGAGCCATCTCCCCGCCCTTCAATGTTTAAACAAATTATTTCTACTTCTTAGTATCTTTCCCCCATTCTATTCCTTATGCTTTGGATTTTGTGTGTGTGTGTGTGTGTGTGTGTGTGTGTGTGTGTGTGTGTGTGTGCGCCAGAAACTGAACTCACTACCTGACATTTGCCAGGTAGGTACCACTGAGCTATTTCCCTGGTTCTGGATTTTTCATTGAAGTGAAAGAATGCTATATACATATATGCTTGTGTTCCTGACTTATTTCACTTAAGATTATGTCTCATTTCAGGTAAATGCCTCAAGTTTATCCTTCTTTATGGCATAGCTGTACTCCATTGAATAAATATTTTCTTTAGCCATTCATCTGTTGATGGGCGTACAGCGCTTCCACAATTTAGTCATTATGCATTGTGCTGCTAGAAACATGGGTATGCAGGTATCACTGTCCTTGAGGTATTTATTTATTTAAGTTGAGGTGCATGTATCACTGTAGCATGTCTTTACTTTTTTTGAGAAGACACTTGGAAATATCTGGGTTAAATGGAACCTCTAGTTTTAGTTTTTTGAGAAATCTACATATTGATTTTTATATTGCTTGTACCAATTTACACTCCTACCAACAATGGAGATGGGTTCCTTTTCCCTGAGGCAGCCTAGCCTACATTTGTTATTGGTTGATACTTTAATAGTAGTCCCAACCAAAATACAAATAACATACCTCACAGAACTAGAGAGGTTGGGACTATGTTAGAAGATCAACTTGTTTGGGACTATCATTAAAATAGTGCTCCATTCTTTCTGGAGTGAGAAAGAACTCAGTGTTGCTTTAATTTGTATTTCTCAAATGCAAATGAAGGTGAACCAGTGATGTTGAACAGTTTTTCATATATTTATGGGCCATTTGTACTTCCTCATCTGAGAAGTGTTTATTCATTTCAGTTGCCCATTATTGGGTCTTTAAATTTGGGGAGGGGGTCCTGATGTTTTTAAGTGCTTTTTATATTCTTTTTAATGG